TTCTTTTGCTTCACAGGAAAACATGCTAACTGAGATACAAATCCATTTCATAACAATTATAGTAATAATAATATGAAGTTTTATAGTGCATGTTATAGCATGTTTTGGGTGTAAAGGCGTATTCGGCATACAGTCCACTTTTTACAGTCGTTAGTACATATTGTTTCATGGAAATATTTTTTAGACAAGTATTTGAAAATGTTCTTGTTTCTTGTTTACTTTTCCGTTTACAAAATTAAAGTGTTTTTATTTATTTTTATTCCCGTGTGAATGTGTGAGTACCTAGTATCCTAGTAGGACCTATTTAGATTTTATGCGTTTACGCAGTACCGCGGAAACAATGTAATCGCTACCACTACCATACTCCACCGTACCAAGGTCGTGGTCGAAACAAACCTGTTCAGGCATGTACACGCGTGCAGCTTCTCACCAACCCGCATTTATAATTGTGTACATTGGTACAGTATAGATTTCTTGCACCCGCCAGTCGCCGATGAGGTTACTCGTACGAGTCGTATGCGCTAGTATGTAAGTCCGTTCAATTTCCCGTTTTAATACTTTCGTGTTATTCATATTTTGTTTAAACAATGCCGAAACAAAAACAAACAGTTGCAGGCCGTTTGCAAAATTTTGTGGCCGAATTTGGTGCTGAATATTTGTCAACCGACAACAAAGTTTTAATCTGTACAGTGTGCGAATCTAAGGTATCTAGTGAAAAACGTTTTAGTATTACACAGCACATTACTTCAGATAAGCATATGTCGCGGTGTTCAACGATTCCAAAGAAAAGAAGGGAACAAAAAAATACAGCTGCTCGTACCTTCCATATCAAAAAAGAGTGAATATAACTTAGATTTATGTAAAACGATGCTAGCTGCCAATATCCCCCTTAATAAATTATCCAATGCACAATTTAAAAGTTTTCTTGAAAAGTATACTATGAAAGATACCCCTATAGAATCAACATTACGATTAGGATATGTTGACGATCGTTACATCGGCACGGTTAACAAAATTTAAAAAAAAGTTAACGGTAAAAAAATATGGACATCGTTGGATGAGACTACAGATGTTTAGGGGAGGTATATAGTGAGCACAACGATTGGAATACTCTTGCATGATTCTCCTGGTGAAATATTTTTACTAAATATTGATGAACTGGAAAAAGCAAATCATAGTACTATATGCAAGACATATAGATATAGGTATATAGATAAATCGTTGTTGTTACTATGGCCCGATGGAATGCAGTACGACGATGTCCTGTTATTTGTACTGACGCCGCACCATATATGAAAGGCAGCTCGTACTCTACGATCTTTTTACACGAAAATGATTCATCTCACTTGTGTGGCACATGGTCGACATCGTGTTGCCGAAGAAATTCGTTCACAGTTTGGTAATGTAGACGATTTAGTGGCCAACGTTAATCAAGTATTTCGAAAATGTCTATATCGAATACAAATATTTAGAAATGAAGCATCTGATTTGCAATTACCCCCGTCACCCGTTATTACTCGCAGGAGTACATGGTTAACTGCTGCGTCGTATTACTGCACACATTTTGAAACTATAAAAATTATAGTTGAATCATTTGACGAAAGAGATGCTGTGGCTGTAAAAAAATCGAAACAAGTACTCAAATTCCAACAACTACAGGCCAACTTGATTCATATCAAATCAAACTTTGATTACTTTCCAATAGCGATCACGCGTCTACAAGAACAAAGCATTCTATTAAGTGAAGGACTTGATATAGTCGAAGAAATCGTAGACACATTTGAAAAACCAGAAGGACATTTTTTGTCTTCAAAAGGACAAGGATTGAAATTTAAAAAAAAAATTAAATATGTTTTGGACAAAAATAAAGGGTACAACATAATTTGTGTGGCAAAGAAGAAAATATTGAAAATTTAGGTCTACCTGAAGATATGACTGCAAACGATTTACTGTACTTTAAATATGCATCTCTTACTTCAGCAGATGTAGAAAGATCCTTTTTCATGCTCAAAAACTTATTGGTAGACAATCGTCGATCTTTAAGTTGGAAAACATAAAAAAAAACACTATAATAGTACAGTTATTTCTAAAGTAAATATAATTTTTATAAATATTATAATAAAATATATCAAAATGAAATACCTAATATTTCATTCCAAATGTTTTCAGTGTAGGTGCTGGATATGGGTGTACACAAATTAGGCACAAATGACTACCTAATTAAGATTTATAAAAATAACAAAGCTATTTGAACTACACAAGTATTAAAATTATTTTTTAATTTATCAATTTTGACTGTTGAATACATAAAAATTAAAAGAAAGAAAATACCTAATTTATTAGGCTAACACTTTTAAAATGTATTGATTTATCCTTATTATTTTTAAATGTTCTCATGATTTTTTTACATAATGCATATTTTGAGTGCATAATTAAAAAATGTTAGGGCATAAAATTGCATATTTTTAAACTTTTTAGTACATATTTTTAATGCTTATTTAGGTATTTTTTAGTGCATGAAGTTACGAGCCTTGATAATAACCTATCAGGTGGACACAGCGGGGATATTAAGTATTCTAAACTTATGTTTATAGAAACCTAAAACTTAAAATTAAAACATTTAAAAACAAAACCTATTAATATTAATTATTTGATTTTTTAGGTTTTTTTTAGTCAAATTTTCACTAAAAAATATAATAAGTTTTTTCACTTCAGTTTAACGATTAGATTCTAAACGAAACAAAGGATGTATTTACTGTCGGCATTTCGATTTCCATATGCCAATCAAATAGATTACAAAGTTAAATTGAGTTTGTTTGACATATCACGCACAATAAATTCGACTTTCTACGAGAACAGATTAATGACATATCCATTTAATACTTACAGGGCATTATAAATACGCATTCAAAATTAATTTGAAAAACAAAACAAACGGTATAGTCGACCTAATTATGAGAAGTGTATTTAATCGTTTTTATAAAAATCACTAGATTCTTCGTAAAGTCTCCACATCTCGTTTATTTTTTAAAATTTAATTTAATTTTACACTAAACAGTAATAATAATGTCTTTGAATAATACTCTATTGTGTAGGTAATCCATTGCAAAATGCACATTGCACCAATTTTTGCATATTACTACTTGTTCGCATTACAGGATTTGTCAAATGTATAATGTGTAAAGATATTATGCTCACATATCATAATTGTCTATATTGATTTATTCAATAAAATAAATAACGGTCAAGTTGTCGCACGCAGAGAACCGTTAAAAATCCAATAAATACCATTGATCACTGATGAAAGGAACGATTTGCATTATTTGGACACGTAGAAACTCACACACTGTTGTGACCATTTTGCGCAACATGTGTGATCTATTTCGTGTGAAGCCGGATACAAGGGATGGACCGATCACTCTGTCACTAAGGATAACGGTAGAGCTTTGGAAACTCAGAGGCCTTTGATGAAGCCGCCTGCGAATCTGGCTGGCTTGACCACGTCGTCACCTCTCACCAGTGCACGCGCACCACTAAACAGAGTAACAACCTCTCTATACCGAATTCTACGAGCGACAACTGGACTCCTTATGACGAGCAATTATCAGTGCGTTTTATTATTTTGAGTATTTTGAGTAATTAATTTGCGTCACCTAAAACTCCTACACAGCATATAACCCAGGGACAGCTGCGAGTCAGGTAAGACGTCATGTTATAATATAAAATATATTATTATTGACTGCACTGTATTACATTATATGCACATACCTTTACATTTATATTGTACAGTGTATTTGATCAAATTCTCGAATACGCGACCTCGAGAACCCTCCGACGATCAGGAGGAAGGTAATAATAGCGTAAATTGAGATAATTTTAAATATAAGTGTTGGCAGGCGTCGTATTTATATTTACGGTTATTCTCTTATTTTTTATATTTGTGTTTATTCTATTTTTGCGTTATTACAAATGTTTCCATTAGAACCATACCACCTATAACATGACTATAATATTACTTTGTACTTGATAGTCTTCTGAACGGTCATTGACATTATAATAGGCAATTATTAAATGTGAACCTATATTATTATCAGTTATCACGTCATCAATTATTTATAATATAATAATTAGGTGATCACAATTTAAATACAAAACATAACCGTCGTACAATTAAAATTTGCTCTAAGCTTAAAAATAAAGAATTTTAATAAACTTGAAAATTTGATCCAATCGATTTACCACATACTTCAGAATTTCCTAAATACGTACCTGCCTTTATAATGTTTAATACCTTGTGATTTGTATCAAACTACCGTAATATTAGTTAATATGTTAATAATTTGTTTTTATTTCGAATTACCAATACATGATAATATACGAGTATATGTATATATATAATATATATATAGGTTATTCTACAATAAAAAGTGATCACTCGTCCACTCTCATAACTCATTAACTCAATTAATTTTAATGTTCCCCAGAAAATGTCTTTGCTCATTTCTAAGTACCTAGGTATTTTTAACTTAAATGTTTTTTAAAAAAAGTTAATCTGAATTTTTCTTTGATGTACATACTACAAGCTTTTTTTTTAAAACGCATACTTATCAAAATATTGACTAGGCATTCGCCGATAAAAAATATAATCAGTTTAGATATATTCTAAATTACTATAATTAAGTTCGTACAAGAAGATATGTTTTTAGTTTAAATAATATTGATTAGGTATAGGTATTGCAATAATATTTTTTTTTCACCAGTAAATCGTTAAAATACCTAAAAACATAAAAAGTAAACGAGAAAAACCATTATTCGATTGCGATGATGTATTGCTTTAAAATTTAGATTGATAACCTGCGCACCCTTTTATTCACACCTGTCCGAGTATTCTGTCCAAAACACTGTTGACTGCATCTGCGCTTCAGGTAAAATATTGACTTCCGTTCACGTGTTAAAGTAATTACAAAAAATGAATCAAATAATTGAAAACGACACAAAAATATTGGCAGTGATGCAATCTAAAATGTATTTTTTTTTTAAATACATCATTATGTAGAGCATGTATATGAGATGACTCATAATCACATTAAAACGTACCGGTTGAGATTGACTCTAAGACGAATAACAATTTATATAATAACAAATATTTTTGTTACAAACTATACACACTTCAATATTATACTTACAAACAATTATTGTAATTTTGTTAATTTTAGACGGTCTGCAGTCATATCTGTTATCGATGTTAAGTAGGACATTGTTACAAGCCATTATAATTACTCTTTATTAAAATGTACTTATAACTAATAAAATATCAACAAATATAATATTATAATGACTGGAGTAATATGAACACATATATATATATATATTACAATTAATATTAATGTGCGTATATAATATTATTATATTATCAGTCACTAAGCGTTCGGGTTGGACAATCTACCCATAAAAATTATATTCGCGTTTTTTTTTATAATGAACATGAACGGATGGCACGCGTGGAACTTAACGGCCTTGATGTCGCTCGGTCTGTCTTCCGACGTTCTCAGGTTCACGCCGATGTCTGTATAAATGAAACGACACAACTCGTTAATCGTTTGCGCTCGAATTTCAAAATAATTTTTGTTTTTTTTTTAAATCGAATAACATCCGATATTTACACCATTGTTGTTATTACTATAATCATCGTTCTTACCGGCGACGCCTGTGGCTTCGGTGCCGTTTTCGTCGATGTTCGCGAACGACTTATGTTTGATGTCACTAACTTTCAGCTTACCCGCTGCAGATGTACTAATGTAAGAGAAATCGGCACTCGACGTGAACATCTCGGTGCAGCCCAACTGTCAAAAACAATATTGATGAGCCTTACAGAAGTAAATACAGACGTAAAGTTTTCGAAACTAATTTATACTCGGAACGTATTGTAGAGACATAATATAATGGCGCATAAATATATTGTTGTAAGTTGTTCAAAAGTAGTCTACATACGTTTCAAATAAATTACTTTTTGCGCAAACTTCGCAAAAATATATACATATATATATATGAATTCGCACGAATTACATTATGTTGCCTAGGTCAAGATCACTGCAGTCGTATAAAAGAAATCTACTTGCACGTATTAAATGTGGTCTACGCGCGCCTCTACTATCGTCGCACTCCCAGAAGAATAACGAGACAACTCTAACGTGACGTATATATGATATTATGAATTTAATAATATGCACAATGATTGACCCCCCCCCCCACCACTCTAGGTCCACCAAATTCAGAGCGGTTCGAGTTTGCATACTTTAGAGTATCTATATTTATTTAATATTTTAATATTATATTCTATTCTGTTTTAATCTGACCTTCAGCCGTTGAAGCGCATTGTATTTTCTAAATGTTATAGTCACAAAACAAATATTTCTGACCTTTTGTCTTATAAAGTTTTACACTGGGTAGTAGGTAGATAATATACACTCAACCGGATGCTCCATATTTTAAAGTAAGATACTCATTATTTTAGAAAACGCTAATGTTGCTGAAAATATTTCATTAACATGATAATATTTGAAGTGATGGTGTAACACTAAAATGATCCAACTCTACACTGTAGACTTCAATATGAATTAAAATTGTCCAACAAAAACGACGAACTAATAGCGGTTTAAGCGTTTTGCGAAATAGATTAAACAGTGATTTCAAGGAGATTTGACTTTTTTAAAAAAAAAAAAAGGAAAAAATACCAGAACCCACGAAAATAGTCCGACACAAAACGGGCAGAATGTTATAAACAGAATTTAAATTAAAAGTGACGCGTGTTTTATATCAGATTAGGTAGACGAACGCGAATGGACATAAAATTGGTGACTGTTCAGTATACAATATAATATAATAATAAACTCCATAGAAACTGAAATTTTTACGAAACCTATACCAATATTTATATATAATATATGTAGAGTCGGTACCTCCTAATACGCGGCATTCCGAGGGAAAATAATAATTCTTTGCCCCTAATAAGATTTGTCGAAACATTTTTTACATATTAAATCGTTTAAGCTCGTTGACTGGACGAAAAAAATACACAAAATTGGTTTTGACGGGCGCGATGGATGAAAACGGGTCGTATAAATTATAGTCAACTGTCAACCGGCGAGATAATTTTTCGCGTGTTGGAAACTTTTACGCGTCCTAATCGAATAACACTGCAAAAACACACACACGACACGGACATTGACGTATTGTTATTTGTTTTGTATGTGAGCGTTCTGAGCCGCCGAGGTACTTACTTTTTCCAATGTTTTTACGAGACTGACGTCCGACTCGAACTTAAACTTCGGTACATCCACCGTGACATCGTGGACGGTCAGATTGCCCTGCAAGTACGCGAAGTTTTTGGAGTTCTTCAGAAACGAGTTTTCCAATTCTTCTAATCCGTCCACCCTGTCCGGCAGTATGACCAACATGTCGAAACCACCTGCCTGGTTCACAACAATTATTATGGTGACAATATTTATCTACAGCTATACGAATAATACGTCATATCGAGGGGATCGGCGGAGGACAGTTTTTAAGGAGTTCGAATTTGGTAATTTTGAAATTGCATGTATGTGGGTCTTGTGAATGTGTGCGTAGTAAGTTATCATTGGTGTATATTACTACAGTGCAGTGTAAAAGAAACAGCGGAGTACTTCTTCCAGTGTTAATTTCAGGGGGGGGCTATTATAGCAACCCGGAGAAAAATGTATACCACCAGAAAAAAATATTCTTACTCACCTTCATTATTTATTCCTATGAAATATTATACCCTTTTGAGAATTTACGATACCCCATCACCCCCTCCCCCCAGGGGATATAAGGTACAAGTCGCCGCCTCGGCGTTGAGCACGTGAATGGTAAACAGTTCAATATGTTCATTTGTAAGTACCTACTTTTTATCCATCAGTATATCAATCGACCCACTACTGAGATTATATTTCAGAAAACTGATCCCTGAAAATCATTTTAATTTCTACTTGAGATACTTTAGAGATTTCTGAATTCCGAATAATCAGCGTTTGAAAATTCATAAAAATTTCAAAATAATCAAACTAAATTTATAGTTTTGTAGGGGCGAAATTGGAAAAAGCGGACTGACCGATCTCGAACATACTACAAAATTCAGTTTTAAAAAATATTGTCGCATTACTAGGTCGATCGGTATGATGGACAAAAGGTTGGTATGTTTTGACGAAAGTAGCTGTCCGCCACCGATCCCCCTAAATATTATAACGTTGGGCCGATATACGAAATATAGACGAATATATGTCATGATATTATAAAGTTGAATCAATTCGTTTAAGTGACGAAGTTAAGAGTATGTCATCAGACAGTTTGTTTGTCTCTCTCTCTGACCTACCTCGCAACATAGAAAATGTATGGTTATTAGCCAAACCAACCCCGTGTTGCTACTTTTAATAATAGAGTAGATGCACCTACTATATATTTCTAAGCTATGAATATTATCCGAGTCACTACGTTGGCTTTTTACGATATTTAAATTTGTATAGAATGTATAAGCATTTTTAAATTGTAATAGCATTCAGTCCCATAACTTGCACAAAAATTAAAATATCTTAAAATAGCCAACAGGTAATGTTCTTAACTTAAAATTTGATAGCATGTGAATCCGTTCTAAAATTAAAAGTATAATAACACATAGTTGCCATACTCATATTTGCTATGTCGCGCGTGGGCCAGAGAGAGAAAACAAATAGTGGGCTGACATCCTCTTAATTTTCCAATTCAACTGTAGTGTTTTCGAATAAAATACGGTTTCTTTTACAAAGATAAACACAAAAATAATACAATACTTTGTACGGCAATTCGACGGCGGAGAACTTGTAACCGTCGTCCTTGTAGTATCTTAAAATGCCTCTTCGCTGCATCATTACGACGTCAATATGCTTTGAAGGCGTAAGGCAGAAACTCGCGTTCTTCGTATCAGTGAATCGGTTTTTCCACTCATTTCGAAAGTGCACGGCCGAGGCCAAAACCAACACCGTATCCCTGTCAATGGTACCTACACGAAGGCATGATAAGCAATGAAAGGCGTACACATCGTTATGTTTACGTACCTACTTATTTAAATATTTAATTATTAGCAACATTTTCCGATTTCCTTGTTGCGGTACTATTAATTTTACAGACACTTTATATTTTTATGTTTATATTATTATTATTACCTATCGTGTTTATAATTACCTGGTTCGAAAATGTTGGAAATCTTTCCGTTGGTCTTATGTTCAGCCCACTTGTTGATTTCCAATACTTCGTTTGCAGAATTTCCGGCGAAATCGAGACTTTTCACTTCGGAATTCATGTAGATACGAGCCTTTTCCACGTAATCGTCTCTCAAAACGAACGCCATATCCGTGAAAACTCCATTGGCAATGGTTAAATAATCAGGGTCCTGAAAACAGTTAATTAAACTTCAAAATTACTATAAACGTCGTCGATGTATCTAAAAGAACGCAACGTGGCGTTATCTGAGACACAGCAAACAAAAAGCGAAAAACAGCAATCTCATGAAAATATTGAGATTGGTTTACACTTGATAACAAAATACCAATTTGATTTGGAATGCTTATAAATCGAAACATGCCTCAAATAAAACGTACTCGTTCGCTGTACTATTCAAACTGACGATTAAATGGTATTTACTCTGCACTCTGATTATAACAATAATAATTTTAAGAAAACCCATGAGAAAATTACATTTCATACACTGTACAAACATTTTGCACTAAAATCTAATTATTTTTAGTTCCGATATTAACCACGTCGTTACTATTATGTATAAAATATATAAAAACATATTATAGCTAACGCTATAGAAAGTGAAAGCAAATATTTCAGTTAAAATTATCTATTAGATTAAAACAGTGTTCAGGTGGTTAAAACTTACTACTGAAATCGTACTTCTGAAATCCACGCTTCGAATTAGTTCAAATTTCAGATTTAAACTAACCCTAACGTTGTTTATTTTTTTATAAAAATAAAAATTGTTTAAAGATCTTTACAGTCTTTTCGAATCTGTCGATATTCAAGAATCACATTATAGTTGTATCTATTGTGCATGTGGGTACCAAAAAGGTTAAACATTTGAAATGTTCTCAAAATGTGTAGTCCCTTTCCCCTCCCGAAAACCACCCATTTCAATCCAACGTCATTCATTTTAAATATTCAATGGTACCTACTTCTTAGCATGAACTCACTCTAATATATTATATATACAAACAATTTACTAATCGTCATCTAAATCATACCTTACTATATAATTTAATGTGTTTAATTATGTACATAGTAGTCATATCAAATTTGAATTAAGGTTAATAATTTATGGCTGTAATTGTTAATTACTATATAATTTGTTTTTGATGTATATTTATTATTACTTTTAGCTTTCCGAAAAACAAGCTGTTGACCAATTAAGTCGAATAATTTAAATATGCATTATTTATTCTACGGAAATATTTATATTAAATCAAGTAATTATAAACGAATTAATTATTTTATGCGCTCCGCATTATTATTATTCATTACACATTTTTCACTGGTCTCTTAGATTTAATTAAATAAAAACAAAAGACCGGACATGTTTGTATCTTTTGTGCGTGAATTAGACAACTCTTTATGTCAAAACACTTCAGTGAATTTGTAAAAGTTTAATATCGTTTCAAAATATAAAAACTTAAACATTTAAAAAAAAAGTTGAGTCGAGTCCGATTACAGATTAATTTAGTTTTAATACATTGTAACATTATTATAACACATACAAAATAAGAGAAGAGTAACACAAACAAAGACGTAGGTAACAGTTATAGTAATGTTACGGTAACTATCGCCCTTAAGAATGGATCATGTAATGTAAATCACTCAAACACAATATAAATCAACAAATTTCACATAAAATATTGTTTGATTGATAACGATAATAAATGAAGAGATTTAAATTAATTAGTAGGTAGGTAGTAAAATATACGTACCTATACATATTATATGTTTTTGAAGTGTGATACAAAATGTATTACGATGCTTTCATCGTTACGATATTTTTGGAAATTAAAATTGAACTCCAATAAACGTTTTGTAATTATTTTTACCATCAATACAAACTGAATCCATTTAGATCATGTTTAACAATACAGTTTTTTTATCACCGCTTTAGCTATATTTTATATCCCATCAAATATAATGGTTTGTAATAGGACCCTAGTATAATATGCACAAATTTGTAAAATAATTAAATAAATATTGATTATTCTCCGAATTCCGTACAAACATTTCAATACCATGACATACTTTTGGAGTGCTTTATTTCACAGATGGAGATGCTTTTTGAGGTTTCTTATGTTACTCGAAAAAAATATTTACAAAGCATAAGAGTACCCGCCGTAAGATACCCAATATTTCCCACGTTTTTCTCATGGTAATATAAGCTGAATATTAACGTTATTCTAGCAAATAGAACAAAATTGTTTTGTTATGAATTATCTACGATTCCGATGCAAATGAGATTTTGAGCGATTTCGTAATATTATGATTGTTATCCACACCTGTAGTCTCTAATAAATATAAAGTCCACAGACCGCTGGTGGGAAAAAAAAGCAGAGATTCGGTCCCGTTGAACCTATCCAAACACAGCTTACTTCGATGTTTGTGATGACCGACTTGATGTTGTCGTAATTCGGAGCAATCTTTTGTGGCAATCGCAGGAGCGTCTTGAGTTGATCGCCGGTCTTTGACTTGGAGCCGAAAGCCAGGAGCAACAACAAAAATTGCACGCTGTAAGTGGAGACGAACAAATTGCCATCGACGGAAGTGCTCAATTCCTGAGGAAAAACAACCACAACATACGTCCTTTATGCATTGTATTAATGAGTATTTCGTCAAACGACGACCGGAATCGGAAACTGACTCCGGATCATAATATTCGGTTTTCCGTGGCCAGAACTAAGCGGGCCCGTCAGCCTGGGACAAATTTTAATTTTGCGGTTACGAATTACGAATCGTATACAAATTTTCCAGTTTGGTTTGAAATTTTTCCAGCAGAGCACTCCGTATAGAACATTAATAATCTAGGGGATGATTAATTCGATATTTTTCTTTTTTAGGGCATTTGGTTTTAGTGACTTTGGTTACACAATATTACCAACTGCTTTTTTAGTATGATTTGATTTCATAATTTCGGTTCCGGGCTGACGTTCCTGGATACACTCCGAATTGCAATTATTATAACCTTATTCGGGGTGACTATATAATGTATACATATACCTACCTTGAACAATGTGAACGAATAGTTTGACGTGTGGGAGGTGTAGTGGATATTCGTAGACGGCGAGGCCTGCATGACGATGACGGCGTTTCCGGTGATCGATCGATCGAGGCTAAACTCTGCTGCACAGTAGTCGGTCCAGATTTGGACTGCACGGGTGTTGGCGTGTATAGGCTCGGCGGATAATATTTCGGCGTGCCTACCTAAACATACCTATGGCGGTTGTAAATTAACACGTCATAGGTACCACCTGTGAATTGAACACAATCTTTCAAACGGTCATAATGATAGTAACAATAATACCCACACTATCACCCGCTTCCGGCGGAAAACCCTCGGTGCCGATAACGCACGCGCAATCAGAGCCAATTATTTTATTTCATTCATCACAATATATATAGTATTATGTTATATTGTATTATTATTTGATCGCAACCGCGGCAAGTGTTGGTTGTAATCATCGATCTCCGGGTCAGAGGTCGGAAGACCACGTGCGGGAGCGAGAAGAGAGTCGTCGTCGAAAAACGTTTGTGATCGAACCGCGGCGAACAAAATTTCATTAAAACAATATACATATTATTTTGTTGTGCTTATCGGCTACGAGTATCGGACGATACAGATTCACGTCATGTTTTTTTTTTCTTCTAATTATGTCGATATTATTATAGCAGCACCTATATCATAGTATTTATTCAGAGTTTGACGACCCCGTGTATAAAATATGTTATGACTCGAGAGGTCATCGCAATAATATAATAGAATATATCTGTCGGCCGTTAATTTAACGGACGCGTAAAACACGAAAACCATCACTCGGGCACGTAGCACTCGAAAAAGAATACATAAACCTAACGTCTGCAGCTTTCACACGTGACGATCTTTCGTCGCGACTTTCGGTCAACCGGCCTCACTCAATTCGAGAGCGTAGTGGATAAACGCATGAGTGCGTTCATTATACAGAGTGTGTTATATGGCCCAAAGCTTGACATCAAAATTACATTTTTCGATTTCGCTCATCAAAATTGGATTTTTTTTTATTTTAAATTGGAACACAATGCGTATCGATTTTCTAATCCATGTTTTTTTTTATTATTATAATATATAATCGAGCAATATCATTTTTATCTTATTCTGATTGGTCATCAGGTTTTAAGCACAATTTTGCTTTTTTTCGATTTAAAATATGGCTTTTATATTTTTATGGAAGGGGCCCTGCAAAAATTTCAAACACTAACCGTATTCAACGCTTTTTACGTATCCAACCAGACCTTATACATAACGATCTTGCCATTTCACCCGTCTGCGATGTAGATAGAACTTTTTATAGACTTTTATAGATTCAACTTATTTGCTAAAAACCACCATGATCCCCTAATCAAAGGACTTTGCGTCGGCAAACATACGTGACAATCCTAGGAAAATACTAAAAAGCCGGTGGGGTGTAGGGACCTATTAATTTAGCTAATTGCCCCTAATTGTATTTATTGTAAACTCATAAAAATTTATATAAATAACTGATTAAGTGTCTTCACTGGAAGGCTTCTTAAATCTGTTCTTTCTTCAAGCCACTTTTTATTCATTTAGCTCTTTTACTTATTGTTCGATTTTATTATGTAACAGATTGTAAATATAAAAATTAATAAAAAATATATATATATTTTTATGGTTTTAATTTTTATTCCTAAATACATATACGTGCTGGCTCGTCGTTTGCACTTTTCATCGATATATATATATATATATATATAAACTTGATTTTGAAACCGATTTTATGCCCCATCACCGAAACGTCCCATGTGAAATCGTATGAACCTCAGAAACTCGACTCCGATATTTGTATACACTCGCATCATACTTGTAAAACATATTATATAGCGGCCTTGGTTTGGGTTTGGTGTGGTGTGATGTTTAGCTTCAGTCACAAACTTGTTCTGAGAGCCAATACCGATCAGTGTCTCTAGTCACTGGATGGGTGACCACCCGCGTTCTTAGTGACAAATCCGGCTTATAACTATGCAATCAACACCATAAAAAAATATACATAATACGCATTATATAATTATCAAGTTTGTTTTTTACTTTTTCCGCCGTACTTATTATAGGTATCACTTTCTTGTGAGGTTTACTGTCTATTAATCTATTAATCCGTAGTTATCGCACTTTCCAAGTGCATAATATATAATATAGCTGGAAGACTTTCTCTCGAGTGCAGCGGAAATGGGTATAAAATAATATAATAATTACATGAAAGCAATTATTTACATTTCGAATTAATGCCCCAGCAATAGGCAGCTACAGGTAAAGCATATTTTTTTCCAATTCTGCTAACTCGACGCCTGCATAGTTGTATATACATATGAATGGGTAGGTATATACACTTTTGCGTAAGCCTCTGTATTATGTTATTATAATATGTATTCCGAACACATAATATTCCAACCTATAGATTCACACAAAGGTCATAAACAACAAGAAAATAAACTAATGAATATAAAGTCATGATTTTTAATTGCGTACGACAGAAGGGTGCATACAAATCGGGTGATTTATATAACAGAGTGTTTTGTGCATTGGAAATTGTATATTATATAACAGTTCATACTTACTTGGAACATAAGACATAATAATTTATATGCCACATCGTTTTTAATTGGAAAAAGATACGAATTCGACTGCTTGAGCTCGAACTTTACAAATATATGAAATCAATGTAGTAATTTATTATTAAAAAAAACATTAAATCCTCTTATCTATAGGTACGCTATTCGTTAGTAGTTTCCAATTTAATGACTGAGCTATAAACTATAATATTATATACATAGTATAATCAATATTTCTCGTATTTCGTTGTCAGTGACATACTTTCAGTAGCTAATTTATAAAAACAAACGATATAATACTTTACACTAAATCACGTATACTTTCGTCCGTCGTTTGACGGATAAAAATGTTAAAAATAAATAAATATTGTGATAAATAAGCTATTTGAATTATTTGTTCAAAATCTCACGTTTAGACTATAATATTATGCTCTAGCTACCCGAATAAATGACGTAATATTAATAAAACAAAAAAAATAATTACAACAAGCAGCCGATAATTATTAATAACGAGCCATTATTATATCAGATTTACAAAATATTTTAGTCAACCGTAAAATGTTGGTACGGCTGTGCATAAAATTATTTCGCATTAATATTATATTCCATTATATTTTAATATTGCCTATAAAAGTTATCATAAATTGTTCGAGAACCAGCATCTATTGTTACGACAAATTGAAAATGAAATATTTATTTTCAGATTTTATTGAATTGAATTTTTTAACTGTATGGGTACCCTAATACAAACTTCAGAAAGCTTAAAGTATTTTAAGAGTTTACTCGTGTTTTAGATACAGCTCTGTAAAAGGCATTTTAATAACATGTAATGCCATAAATCTTTTGATTTTTGAAAAAAAGCCAAAAATAAAGGTACGAAATTCGTCGAATAGATACAACGCCAATATATTATAGTGTGATGCACTGATACACGTTTCAATATAATAAATTCCATTTAAAAAAAATTAAAATGTAAAGTATTATAGTCGTCTAAAAAAAAAAATGATTTAGTTTTATGCCAACATTTCTAGGTAGACGTTTTTATTATATTATTGTAGGGGTAATATATTTCACGATACAAAAATAATAATATTATCTTAATATAAATAATATTTCGCTTTCGGCTCATCGATACGTTAACAACATTGCCGGAATCATTACATCGTACATAGGTGTGTTTGATATTTATTTTGCTTAAAACAATTATTATAATATTATATTAACGAAATAATGATCTTATCATAGTGTTTTCAACAGATAAGTATAGGTACACGGATTGCTATTTACTTAGTATTACATAATATTATTATCGTTGTAATAAGGCAGATGAGTTATTTGTATATACCTACGCTTTTCCCCGTTGAACATTATGGTAATTTTTGAAACAATTTTCTTTTTTTTCTTTTTAATGTGATAGACGTTGAAACATCACGTCGCTGAACAAAGTTGAGTCTTTTCCCACACCAACCGAAAACCTGCAGTCCTTAAATTCTCCGACCACGATTCCTTTGGGTGTTATAGTTGCGCAATTTTGTTTATTCAAATCAGACCTTTCAAGAATCAAACAATTCCTGCACACGACAGTTATCCAACAAAACGTATACATCGTGCCACTCAACTTTATACACAACATTCTAGTATAACAAGTCACACAATAAACTTCAAAATCACTGTGCTTTACTTTAATGTACACTGGAATTCGTACAGCCATTTTATACTATGCATACAACACCGACGTAGGTATATTTACATATTGCAGTGAAAATAATTCTAAAGCTTTTGCAGAGAGTTTTATTTTTATATTTTCGATTCGATTGCGATTTAATATTATATTATTGAAATGCATAAATCGTAACTAGGTTATATTGATGTAATACATTATAATATCAGTGGTGTACACAGACAAAATGGTACCCAACATTGTTCCAATTGATTAGAAAAAAAAAAACAAAAAACACATCTCTCTAACGATTAAATATGAATGGTAGAACCCGTCATCAACCTCATAGGTTTACTATGAATTTTTGAATAAATAAATCCAATATTTTTCCTCGGCATATCATTAGTAATTAATTAAAATTCCCAAATTGTATATTGTTCTCTAACCAAAATATCAATATTTTTTTTTTAATATTTTACTGTCATAATAATTATAGTTATTATTAATTAATTATTGGTAGATACGTGTAAAAATAAAACTAATTTGTTCTGAACTCCGATATAATGTACATGACGCGGTTTTACTTTTCACAGGTGCTACTCGACGAGAGTGAACAGGTTAATGGATATTGACAACAGACGTGACTAACTAGACTGATGACATATGACCGACTAATGTTTTGTTTCATCGCCCAACTCCCGTCGTAAGTACGTATACGTACAAACCGGTGAGTGAGTTGGACTATGATGACAGTGGAAAGCGTCATCTAAAATATAATATGATATTCGATTTTCATAAAAATGAATAAAGCATCGAGTTAAAAAAAATTATGTACCCTTGATATCGTGTTAGTCACGAGACAAACATCTGAATTGACTAAAACGATTTTATTTTGATCAATTCTGTACAACGCGAGGTGGTATTTCTTAATCATTACCTAACTATAAATTGATACCGAGCGATACGCTTTTATATTTAAGACCTAAAACCAAAAGGTATAAAACTAAAGCAGCTATTGT